CGTAATCCGTTATCCAAGTATCCGATCTGAATTTATCCGGATATCCGTTAACTATTGATATCCGAATAATTTATCCGAATAGTTGTCGGATTATCCGGATAAATTCAGATATGGATAAATTGATGACGGATTTATCCGGATTGAAACTCTAGATGATTTACTTTATAAACTCAAATGCTAATATTCCATTGCTCATATCGTTGTAAGAACAATCTTACGTCATTAGCAGATGCAATATCTTCAAAACTTTCTTATTACAATGAGCTGGAAGCTATTACTAAATTATTCAATTCCCCCGGTGAAAATATTTGTGAGCAGCCAGAATTTATTCCAGTTTTGGCAAAGCTAGACGAATGTTTAGACTATATGCAGAGTAATGTAAGTCTGAATTTTACTTACGTTGTAATTGTTTTTACTTTACTTATTTCGTGAATTATTTGTTAATGATTAGTTAAGATACAGAGATTCCGAGCTCTATCTTATGCGGTTCAGACAATGTATGACTCGCGGAATAACTTTGATAAAAATGTATTTTATTAACACAATTAAAGGTCTTGGTATTGAAATCAGCAAAAAGACAAATCAGGTACGTATCTTATGATATATATATATATATGAATTTATATTCAATACTTTATTCATTTTCGACCCATTTTTTGGATGACAGTCAACAAATTCTACAGTGCAAACTGCCCTGTTTTATGTGAAATTCCGTGCAGTAGCACCAAAGCTGAAAGAATTAGTGCATGAGGTGGAAAAACGATGTCCTGCACATCGAGAGTATGTCATAGCCTTATTTATTAAATATTAATTATAAAAATATAGTTATCTTTTTAATTATTAACATTGTTTTAGATATAATTCTTTATTAAATGACTGCTACAATGCGTACTTTTCTGTACGACAACAGTTACTCATTCCTGTGATATATGCAAAGATTTTGGAACTTGGTTCTGACGGGCAAGATATCTTGACATTTGTAAGTTTTATTGATAAGATTGAACATTATGCAAAGCCTATCCCTATTTTATTTAAATTAGTCATTCTACTGTTAGGCCCGGAACGGGTACGCATATATGCTGAACCTTTGTTCAGATGAATATTCATTATTTTATAATTTTTTCTCGACGGGTGAAGACGACTTATAGTACGATACATTTGTATTACTTTTATATAACTCGAAAGTCGTTATGTACATTAACATATTGTGCATTTTCGCGATCATTAGTGGCAACTTGGATCTGTTGTGCAGTTATATGTACGATTATCTTCGTCCCCGTATTATTCATGAAACGAATATTGAAGTTTTATCAGAACTTTGTACAATTCTACAAGTGCATCTTAATCAAGATCCTGAAACAATTGAAGGTATGGAATTATGTTAATATTACCTTTTTTTTTTTTTTTTTTTGAATTGATGGTTTTAATAGACTAAATCTTACACAATATAATGGACAAATAGAGAAGGATGGACAAGGGTTGCAATTCAGTCACTTAATACGTAATGTGCTTCAGGATGCACAACAACGACTTGTTTTTCGTGTTCAAACATATAT